GATTTTCTATGATTCTATTATAATCTAAATAAATGTATTTAATTAACATAATGTTGTGTTTTATTCCTACCTTAACTAGATCCTTTAGAATTTCATTAAGAGCTCGGCAAACTTCACGAATGATTATTGATATCATAGGGACAGATACTTTAAACAAGTAGTGAAGGCTTTTGTAAGAATCACCAGATGCCAAAAATCGTAGCGTAATGGCAAGACGAAATTTGGCTGGTATAGCTTCTCTGAAGTCTGTATCATGCTTGGATATCATTGGTGAAATTTTTTGCAGTAAAAACTCAAAATCAGAATAGCTCATTCGGCAGAAGTTATCAAACTCTCCAGATGGTTCATATAAAAGTTCATTAAATTTCTCTTCTATAAATTGTCTGTAACAAATAAAATATATCGTAAGTATTGTGGCATAACTCAACTGCAACAGATAATGGTTAAATCAAAATAGTAGTTACCTGGTACGATTATGATGAATCTTTTTCATCCACCATCTTCGCTGTCGTCGAGCTCTCCTTTTTTTTATTTCACTTTGCTTACACTTCAAATAAAAGTACGTTAAACCAAATGCAATAGCCGTCACAAGTTCGGTGTCCGCCATGCTTGGATGTATATTGCAGACTGACGCATTCACAAGCGTATAAACGCCTTTCAAACGCCAAACGAGATTTGTGGAGGCTTGGGACTGTTTGCAGTTTGCCAAGGCTTGGCAAGCATGTAAACGTACCATAAAAAGGGCGTTTGGCTTGGCTTGCGTGGGCTTGTGCCTGCTTGCTTCCGATCCAGTCGAGTGTCGGTTTTTTTACGCAGATCAAAGGGCGTTTGCGGCAAGCGCTTGCGATGCATTTACATGTTGGTCCGCGTTTAGTAGCCATTGTGATCTCGCGGCGAGTACACGCTTGCTTGATTTTACAAAAAATAAATAAAAAATGAGTTGCTGGTCGAATGAGGAGAGTCTTTCGTTTCTGGAACATTACCAAATGGAACCATGCATCTGGAATCCGAAAGATGCAAATCATAAAGATAAGAAGAAACAAGCAGATGCATGGATTCGTCTTGCTGAACTTACTGGAAGGCCAGTAAAGGAAATAAAAAATAAAAAAGAGATATTGATGACTACTTTTCGCAAGCACTTGAAAAAAAAACGCGAATCTATGCGTTCTGGCGCAGGTATGTTCCTACGATACATTTATAATTATTTTGATAGTCTGCTTAGCAAGGTGTAACTTATGTTTAAAAGCGTTGGTTAGTTTCTCGATTATTCCGCAACTATCTCGCTCTAATTTTCGATGTTTTTATTTTATTTTAGGTGCCGAAGAAATATACAATCCAACTTGGTATGCTTACGAAACCATGGAGTCATTTTTACTACCAGTATATACTTGCAATGAAGGGATAAACACCGAAACAGTAAGTAAATAAATATATTTATCTATACTTATAATAAATCTGTAGAGAGGTCAATTCTGTACATGAAATATATTTCCAAAATAACTATCAGGGGGTGATTAGGGATCGATACTGATGCCAAAACTGCAATCAGTAAATTTTTTGTCTGTCTGTCTGTATAACCGTTATAGAAACAAAAACTACTCGACGGATTTTAACGAAACTTGGTACAATTATTTTTCATACTCCTGAGCTGGTTATAGTATACTTTTCATCACGCTACAATCAATAGGAGCAGAGCAGTGAAGGGAAATGCAGTGAAACCAAAGTTATACATGAAATACTCTAATAGTAAGCCATCGCGCGTGAATACTGAATCATGCTATAAGGATTATCTACACTAATATTATAAAGAGGAATACTTTGTATTTTTGTTTGTTTGTTTGTATATAGTAATATTATAAAGAGGAAAGATTTGTTTGTTTGTTTGTTTGTATTGAATAGGCTCCGAAACTACTGGACCGATTTCAATAATTCTTTCACCAGTTGAAAGCTGATTTGGTTCTGAGTGACATAGGAAGTAAGGGGGGAGGGGGGGGGGGAGCGTGCGAAGCCGCTGGCAAAAGCTAGTTCTAAATAAAAAAAAACACCGTTGGTTATTATACCTACATTTATTTACACATTTTTATCAACTTATCCAATCCTATTAAAATATGAAGTAAATTCTTCCCTGACTTCTCTGGCGTTCACCGGAGATCTTCGTGGTATTTGTGGTAAATTTTGCAATGCATTATATTCGTCGTTATCTCTACGCCATGAACCAGGGGTAACCATATTTCCACTACTGTCATATACGTCAAACGAACTCTGAGGAGTATATCGATTTGAAGAACTTTTACTTGTTCTCAAAAAGTTATGTAGTAATACACAGGTCATCGTAAATTCCGTTACAGTTTGTGGTTCTAAATTGATAGGGCGTCTGAATATTCTGAAAACTGAGGTTAAAATTCCAAACGTATTTTCAACTACAACTCGGGATCTAGATAAATTTTGGTTAAATAACCTTTTTGGTGAGCCTACTTCATGGTTTCCAGGGTAGGGTTTCATTACGTGTTGACTCAATGCAAAAGCACCGTCAGCTAAGAAGACGTATGGAATATTAATATTCGATCCTGGAAGTGGACATGGTGGTGGAAAATCTATCTCGTTTCTAATTATTCTTTTGCATAGTAAACAATTATTAAAGACGCCGCCGTCACTTATTCTTCCTTGACTCCCGATGTCTGCGAATACAAATTTGTATTTGCTATCCACTAAAGCCAAAAGGACAATGCTAAAAGTTTTCTTATAATTGAAATACTCTGTTCCACTATGAGTTGGGCTTTCAATGACTACATGCTTGCCATCCAATGCACCTATGCAATGTGGAAATTTAGTCCTGAATCCTTCTTCTATATTAAGCCATCCTTCTGCTGTGGTGGGCATCTGTAAAAAGAAAGTAAATGAAGTGTAAGTTTAAGTATATTATTTTTTTGCAGCAATCAGAACAAATAGAAGAAGATACAGATCAGACAGAGGATGACCCTCTGATAAGAGTTAGTACACCATCCAGACCACCATCTAGATCACCATCCAGACCACCATCCATACAAGCTGTTACTAATAAACGTCGTCGCCCAGCTTCTGAAACGGCTGAAAAGCAAATGGCCGTGGCTTTTGGACAATTAACAAATGTTTTGGGTCAAAGGCAGAATGAAAATATACCTGCTCACAAAGACGATGATTGCGATCTATACGCAAAATTATTGGCTATAAAGCTACGTGAACTGTCAACTGATGAACGAAAAATTATGATGTACCAAATAGATGGGTTGTTTATAAACAGAATCAGTCAAAAATCAAATGAGCGTCATACACCATACCCTCAATATTATTCTCGACCGTCGTCAATGGCTGGTGCATATTCAACACCATCTCCTCAAGTCATTCCGAGTCGGCCAACATCAGTTAATAGTGTTTATTCTGAACCTATTCATAACAACCAAAGTTTTTTTCCCTCTCCAAACACACAAACCTCTTATTCAGCGCCAGACATGACAAAACATATACCAACTCCAATAGCTCCAGCTCCATCTACATCAACAGCACCCTCGTCATCTATTCGTATCATATCGGACCAAATCATCAACCCTACCCCACGTGAAACCAACATTATAAACATGGCTATGTTGAATGCTTTCGAAGATTTTGATTCGTCGACATAATTCTTATTTAAATTAATAAATAATTAAACAATAAAGCAGTCGGCTAACATACATTCATAGAACAGATTTTCTATGATTCTATTATAATCTAAATAAATGTATTTAATTAACATAATGTTGTGTTTTATTCCTACCTTAACTAGATCCTTTAGAATTTCATTAAGAGCTCGGCAAACTTCACGAATGATTATTGATATCATAGGGACAGATACTTTAAACAAGTAGTGAAGGCTTTTGTAAGAATCACCAGATGCCAAAAATCGTAGCGTAATGGCAAGACGAAATTTGGCTGGTATAGCTTCTCTGAAGTCTGTATCATGCTTGGATATCATTGGTGAAATTTTTTGCAGTAAAAACTCAAAATCAGAATAGCTCATTCGGCAGAAGTTATCAAACTCTCCAGATGGTTCATATAAAAGTTCATTAAATTTCTCTTCTATAAATTGTCTGTAACAAATAAAATATATCGTAAGTATTGTGGCATAACTCAACTGCAACAGATAATGGTTAAATCAAAATAGTAGTTACCTGGTACGATTATGATGAATCTTTTTCATCCACCATCTTCGCTGTCGTCGAGCTCTCCTTTTTTTTATTTCACTTTGCTTACACTTCAAATAAAAGTACGTTAAACCAAATGCAATAGCCGTCACAAGTTCGGTGTCCGCCATGCTTGGATGTATATTGCAGACTGACGCATTCACAAGCGTATAAACGCCTTTCAAACGCCAAACGAGATTTGTGGAGGCTTGGGACTGTTTGCAGTTTGCCAAGGCTTGGCAAGCATGTAAACGTACCATTAGGCCGAGGCCGCGGTGCCTCATTGCGCCTACCCCGCAAGCCCGGCTGAGTTTTGTCTGGATCTCATAAAAAAGAAACAAAAATAAATCAACTGATTCGTTTTCAGAAAAAAGACTCTACTGACCTTCATATTAGATTTCATATTCCTTTACAAAATTTACATACCTACGTAGACTTGAAAATATAACCTTTTGCAGTAAAATATCAAAAAACAAAATACCTAAGTTTGACCTTTACATTAACTGCACACAAAGTCGCTTGGTGGCGCGTTATCGTCGATTTTTGTAATCAACATAAAAAGAAATTCATTTCAAACGAAAATATTCAATATGCCAATAAAATTTCCATGGTCGATTCACGTGAAGAAGTAATCTTTATACCGAGCGATCGAAATTAATTACAATGGTATGAGATCTGGCTATGTATGATTTAATATAGTACACGTGACGCCACCTAGTTTACCGATTGCGAACTACATCGTTAAACTCGATACTGTCACGTGGTACTCGAGCGAGAAGAAAAAAAAACAAAACCTGTTTGCTTGGATGTAGTGGAATGACGTTTGTGATGTTTTTGTGTCGTGTGCGATTCGGGGAACGAGTTTTATGTGATTTTAACGTGAAATTCTAATAGATAAACTTTTAACAATCATTGTAAAGTTCTAATAACTAAGTTTAAGTTGTGTTTTAATAAGTTTCCTACGGTATTTTGTAAAGGGAACGATTGATTGTCATTGTGAGTTGCAAACATCGGGTGAATGATACATAAGATTGTGATAGTGTAATGATTTGATCATAAATCAGGAAAAAATGTACAATCAGTGACATTTGTTCTTAGCAACTTGTTATAATGTGTTACAATACTTTTGTTTTGTTGTTTTCATGTGCAAAATAGTGTCAAAGAAATGGGTGACCGTTTAAAACATCCATATAGAGTGAAAAAAACATATGTTATTTGTGTTTTGTTAGAGAAATGGATGTAATAACAGGATTATCCCCTCTAAGTAAGTATAACTTTCTATAGAAAAGGGTCAGGTGATTTAAATTCGGTGCATGCGATCAAATTCTATGACTATACATCGGAATTCGTGGTATTTGCATACCTACAGTTACGGCGGCGGCGTTAGGTTCCGACGACAAAAAGTTTTTATTTGCCATTCTTTACTTTTTAATTTGTCTTAGTATTGATTTTTAAATATTTTTTTTAATGCCTTACTTAGTACCTCGTTTGCTAATTTCAATTTCTATTCTAGTTTGTTGTTTGTAACTGTGCCTTATTCGCCCCTTTTTATTTTTGAATTTCGCAGAAAATATTTTGCGAGGTATGAAATCATTGTGTCTTTTATTATTTAAATTAGTTCTTCTATTTTCTTCTCTATGATGCTAAAACTGGTTATTCAGATTATTCATATTTAAAATATTCAACCTTTGCTTTATTTATAGAATTTGTAATTGTGTGTTTCGAGATAATTTATATTTAGTACAAATAAAAGATTTAAGTGCCGTGAATAAAAAAAAAATCTGCCGTTTATTCTTTGCAGCCAGACATTTACCATAATATAATCACATAAATAACCACATAAATAACGTATTACTGTGCATATTTATAAATATGAAACATACCTACATCTATATAAATTAAAAAAAACTTATATCAAAAGGTCAAATTATTATTTTTGAAGGCGTATGAAGATTTAGTATAAAAAATAATACTAGATGGCGTTACTATCTGCTTCTAAGTCACTGACTAGGCTTTTCGTTAAAAACAATTAGTTATTTTGTTACCTAAAGGTGAGACGGGACTGATTTGAAAAGTGAGTTATTCAAGATAAAAAAAAAAACTTTCAGAAAACGATGTTACCTATTATCCGCGATCATACATAAAAAAAGCATATAGCTATACGGCCGAATAAATAAACCTCTATTTTTTATCCTTATATTACTTAGTACCTATTACAAGATGGCGACTTAGGACTCAAGGGAAATCTTAATTCAAATAAAACGATGCCGCAATCGGAAACCTAGCTTATTTTAAAACTGTCATGATAGATTGGCAGCACCCAAATCAGGCGTAGGTACCTTGAAATTTCACGTGTTGAATTTCTAATTAGATCATAAATCAACTTTGTTATCCTTGTAAAAGTTACAAAACTCATACTTATTAGAATAAATAGATACCTACATAGTTCAAAGTACCTAAAATCTAAATGTTTTAAAGCCATTCTTCGACACGAATATGCTATCTTAGACGGATTAACAGTAACACTGCCTCGCAGAATAACCGACTTGATCCAAAGCTATAGCGTTGTGTTTCGCCGTGTGAGTGAGGTTATCGCGGGCCCTTCACCATAGTCGATGCCTAATAGATTTCCAGCCACAATTCGGAGTTGAAGAGGATTGTTTCTTAGTCAGTAAGACTCGGATCCTTAGCCAGAGTTGGGAGGTAAGGGCAATAAGAAAACGAGGCCTCGGCCTGGAGCAGGAGAATATTCGGAGCGTTTAAAATCAGTAGCACCCGGTTTCTGAAAGGCTTGTCAACGCTAAAATTAACTAATCTCTTGTTAAATCATCTGATTGGTTGTTGATAATTCAGTCAACCAATCAGATGACTTGACAAGATATTAAATTGATTTTAACATTGATCGGCCTTTCGGAAACCGGGTGTAAGAGTCTGACACTCCCTCGTGCCATACTCTAGGCGAAAGAGCATTCAGTGACTTTCCAATTCTTCAAAAAAGTTTCACTACTGTGACACCCAGGGCAGGAAATGTCATTATTGTACTCGTAACAAAAATATATTTTTATAGTCACAAACCAAATAAGTGCTTCCAGTCTACAAACTTATAAATAAATATTAAAACGGGTTTGTCTCTGATCATGATTGAGAAGTCTTGGTCGTGACTCGTGACTAACTTAGCTAGCCTAGCACCCATAATATTATACCTAACTAACCAGTCTAGTGGATTTGAATACTATTCGACTACTACACAGAAAGATAGATACCTACCTAAAACTTAGGTTATTATCTATACTAATATTATAAAGAGGTAAAATTTGTAAGTTTGTATGTAGGGGGTAATCTTTGGAACCACTGGTCGGATTGCCAAAATTCTTTCACTGATAGATAGCTACAATGTTCCTGAGTGCTATAGGCTATAAAACATCACGCTACGATCTAATGAAGTTGAGCAGCGGGTGAAACCGCATGAGAATAGCTAGTTGTATATACAGTACACATTTTTTTTCTGTTTTTGAGTTTGGCATATGGCTCATTGCCTTTTTAGTGATCATTTTGTTGCGTCCATCCTATTTTGATAGGTAACTGTTGCGTTTGTGTTTATAAGATTTTTTGTAAGGGAGAATCATCAATAAGAATCCTTATGTAAATATGTGCTTCGACAAGACCTGAGTGATGCCGCGAAACACTTCGACAACTGACGCTATGTGCACTGTGCAGCCGTTTGAATGAAATTACAGAAGCTCCAATCCTTTCGTTCTTTTGTGATATCTAACACTGCTTTAGCTTTAGCTGAGGGAAAATATCATTGAATTATTATCAAAAGGCCGGCAACTAGCCTGTGACTCCTGACTCCTCTGATGCCGCAGGTGTCTATGGGCCGCGCTGATCACTAACCATCAGGTCATAGTATAAAGAGAAGGGCAGTTGGCTATCTCCGGCCCAATCCGCGATATAATTGCCTACTGTTGTAGGGTTGTCACTTTTAGCAAAATTTTAATTCAGTGCCTATAAATTAGCAAGGGTCGGGAAGTTGTATGTTTTTACCCGACTGCCAAAGAAGGAGGGTAATGTTTTTCGAGTGTATGTAAGTATGTATGTATGTCTGTTCCTTTGTGACCTCCTGTAGCCTAAACGGCTTGATGGATTTTGATGTATGAGGTATCGTTAGATTTGTCTTGATTACGGGAGTGTCATAGGATACATTTTATCCTAAAAGTCCCACGGCATAAAGACATAATAATATTTTTTCTAAATTTCCCTTTAAAAAAATATGTATGCGGTATCATTAGATTCATTTCAATCACGGGAGTAATTAATATAGGATACGTTTTTTCTCAAAATTCCCACGGGAACATGTTAATTCTGCGTCAACGCAAAGCAACTCATGCGTTAGCAAGCAAAAAGATAGGGCGTGGCCTGGCATGCGGCGCGCGGCGCGGTGCGGAGGGGGATATGCTCGAGTATACAGCCCGAATGCGGGCACACGCATAAGGGCACACGTCGTTGACGGTCGTCTCTAAATAGCGATTTTTTCGATACTTCATCTACAACATTTTCGTTAAATAAAAACAGCTAAAAAGTTATAAATAAAAAAAATATTATTAAAAAAACAAAATACCCGACTGCACACTAAAAAAAGAGTAAAACAAGCCCAACAATACAAATTTACTGAATATAATTTATAAATGTTGATGGAAAGCATCGCAGGCGGGGACCACCTTGACCGCCACCAACGAAAATTCTGCTAAATGGTGCACAACAGAAATGACTATAAATAAGCCTCTGTTGGTCCCCGCCTGCGATGCTTTCCATCAACATTTATAAATTATATTCAGTAAATTTGTATTGTTGGGCTTGTTTTACTCTTTTTTTAGTGTGCAGTCGGGTATTTTGTTTTTTTAATAATATTTTTTTTACTTGTATTGTCTGGGTACAGGGTTTGTGAGGTGTGATTCTTTATGTCGCTAGATGGCACAGGCGGTAACATAGACTAACACCCGGTTTCTGAAAGGCTTGTCAACGCTAAAATTAACTAATCTCCTGTTAAATCTCTTGTCAAGTCATCTGATTGGTTGTTGATAATTTAGTCAACCAATCAGATGACTTTAACATTGATCGGCCTTTCGGAAACCGGGTGTAAGAGCTAGTAACAATATTTTCTCATTGTATTTTTTTTTTTAGGCATAAGGCCCTTCTCTTTATATTTTGATCCGTCTGCTTCTCTGATTGACTGATGTTTCTCAACCTAGATGAGACGAGAAGGAGTGTCGGACTCTTACTGACTAAAAACCAACCTGACTGTTTTGCTCCAGGCCGATACCTTTTCACTTTATTACGCTTTCGCCACCCAGTGATTCTGTTGATACATTTGGTAAAGTGTAGTCAAGTTGTGCAAAGTATTAGGTATTGGAATTTCCGATAGAGATACGAGAAATTCGCTGTAATAGAGGGAAATATGGAATTTTGCGCAGTTAAACCGACAGACTCGCCCCCTATTATTACTATATGTTATAGATAACATTATTGGAAAACTGTCGTGTCCTCTGGTTTTTATTCTTCCATGGGCGGCGATAATAAATTCTGGTGTTTTAAAGGTCATTCACCCTGTTACCGTACGGATGCCCTACTATATTTCAAGTCCAAAAACAAGGAAACTACTGAACCGATTTTAATAAAACTGTGTTTTTTTTTTATACTATGTAGTGATGCTATATAGTATGTAACAAAGTCGCCTTCTCTGTCCCTATATCCCTATGTATGCTTAAATCTTTATAACTATGCCACAGATTTTGATACGCTTTGTTTAATTGATAGAGTGATTGAAAAGGAAGTATAATAACATCCATACATTGATCAAATTCTGCGTTGCACCCGTGCGAAGCCAGGGCGGGTCGCTAGTCCAAATCCAATCTAATATGATAAATGCGAAAGTAACTCTGTCTGTCTGTCTGCTTGCCTTTTCTTCACGCCTAAATTACTGAACATATTTGTGTGAAATTTCACAAACCATATCCGTACCAAATCTGGTACGGACATAGTTTAGGACTTGAAAAAGGACCTAGGATAGTTTTTAAACCAAAAATCTGCAGGAAGTCACTATTCCACGCAAACAAAGTCGTGGGCAAAAGCTATTACGTAATATATCAAGGCCTAAAAACTAAAAACTTTAATAAAGTACATCTTGGATTGTGTTTCATGTGAGGAATTATACACGATTATAAGTTAGTGGTATGAAAGCTTAGAATTGTTCTGTGTCTTTCTTAA